AGAGTGCATATGAACATATATTTACGAAAGGTCGCCTCCGAGGGGATAAATCACCATGTCGAACATTGCTTTTTTGTTCCTGCCTCTCGCGTTCTCTTCTCTTCCCGCTGTCCTACCTTTCGTGTCTCCCTCCTCTCAAGTATGGACCATATGGACGTTTCTCGAGAACCATAGCGCCCATCTTCCTGACCATAGTGCCCATTCTCCGCTTTTGGGGCGGGTTTCGGCCATGGCTTCGGCCTCCCTCCTATGGCGTTCGCGTCTCCAAGGACGACGATTTTCCAGACCGACTGGCGCGCGCCATTTCTGCCACACGACGTTGGGGACCTGAGTGGGTGGGGCCGGCAGAGGCCAATTCTTTTAGCACCTGCTCAGTAGGAAAAGAGTGGAGTGGTGGAGCAATGGCCTGTTTTTTAAAGAGCGCTGAAAGGCGAGCATTGTTCAAACGCGCTTGGTTTTCGCATGTTTTTCCCATGGTCTACCAGTTCTGCCCACTTCATGCGACCGAGCAAGGGGGGCATTGGTGGCAAGCAGAGGACAGTCAATGCTTTCCGGAGCAGGAACCACCCAGCGTTCCAAGAGAGGTCAACGGATCTTATGGGATACATCCCACACTATTTTTGGGAGGACATGTTGTCCTATTATACTGTATGCAGTACTGCATGCATATACTTTTATGGAGTATAATAGTTGAGGCCTTTTAACCTTTGTTGGTTTGTGGGTTGTTCTTTGATGCACTCATTCATTCACTTGAGCTGCAGGGTTTAATAGGGTTTAGTCATTTGTTCGGATATTTTTGAGACGTGTTCTCCACACATCCACAGCACCAAGCTGCCTGCGGAGTAGACGGGACACAGGCTATGTTGAGATATGCTTCGACCTTTTCCCTACACAAAAACACACATACAGATCTATCCGTGCCCCCCCAACAAAAACACACCAAAATGAAAATTATATTGCATAACTCTCAACCGCATGGCTATCATTCTTGGATTGAAAGCATGCCCAGTCATCAACTGACACCGTTGCGAGTTGATGCGGCACCGCTTTCGTTGGGTGGACCTGGACTACAACGCACATCCCTGGTTCAATGGGCAGGCCGGGTTGAGTCTGAGGGTTTATGTGGTGGACTTAGCGAGCTGCTCGCTGCTAGCCGCTAGCTAAGTGCTAGCAGACCGTGGAACTCAGGCTTGATGGTACTTGTAGACTCGTTTCTCAGCTTTTTAGCTCTAGCTCTAGCTTGATGTGTTGCTGCACATTTGTATGCCCCTAAACCAAGTTTGTTGGCTTAATCTAGGCTAGGAAAGCCCATGAGGCGGACTCAGGACCCTCTGCTTGAGAGCGCGATGTGGGTTTTCTGTTCGATCTACCTTGCACCAGGGCCTCCGGTGGTAGACAGCGAATTAAGGGGCTATAAATAGACACCCCGACAGGAGGCTCCTTGTATATATATATATTATATATATATAAGGATTATATTTAAATTTAAGCTTTTGGAATTGCACGTAGACGATCCCCGTTGGTGCTCGCAAATAGATCGAAGGAGCTGGGGTTCCTTTTTCACATACTTTGAGCCTTTTTGAGCGCATTGTCTATCGGAGACACTCCATGTATGCCATATTTGCCTACATTGGGGTGGTTTTGGGGGTCAATTATAGGCATATATGCCATACATGGAGTGTCTGGGTATTACACGTGGAGCCCTAACTCTTGGTCCTGGATGCTAGTCGTCCCCATGCTCCGCGGCCATGCTCCGCGGTGGCTTTGCGCACGTTGCCGTCGTCGACAGCAAGACCGCAACGATTCGAGTCGACAAGACCCACAAGATCCCCAACTCGCGTCGGTTTGAACATTCAACTGGGCACCGGCCGTCAAATCACCGTGGCGCACGTCGTATTCCGTTTTTCACACACTTTCCGGTGAGCCCCAGGGCGGCGACAGAATCAGAGACCCAAATCCTGTTCTTTCCAAAAGAAGTTTTGTTGTTCCTCTCATTGTGCCGCGCGAAGACACTACTGCGCCTGGGCGATGGATTGCTGGTTCTGGCTGAGCACGTGGGGCAGCGCAGCACAGTTGAAAAAAAACTAGGAACAGGCGTCCCACGTTCTTAATGACATTCTGTGGTAAGAGACAATGCATAATTTACAGTGCAGGGGTCCTTCAGATTCGTGCATTTCATTTGATGATTCGGTCGCTTCCCCACGCGAGTTGCTATCGCCCTGGCTCTCGCCTCCACGTGACCGAGAAAACGTGCGTTCCACGTCCACCTCTTTGGATCTCGGAGCGTGGTGGGAAACAGATGGCTTCAGCTGGGAAGCGGAAGGATCGACGGGGTCACCGGACATGAAGAGACTAGACTGCATGAAGAGCACTCCCTGGCGGACGTCGTGTAACGGCCTGGCTCCCTTCGTCGGCCAGGGCGGCGCGCTGGGTGCCTGCGATACACCACCGGTGACGCCGCCGCAGGGATGGGAGGCATGCGCAGACGGCGCTCGACGGGTGGGTGGAAGGCCTTCCAAAGACGTTGGGGGCCTTGGAAAGGGATTTGATACTGGGAGGTGGTTTTAGACTACTTTGTATCTCTATATCGTAGATGATGCAGCTTCAGATCGTTCAATCCGAAAGCTGGCACCCTGAAGTTCCAAATCGTTATACTCGCTTGAGAGTATTCCGGCACAATCCCCAAAAAGGATCCCAAAGGTATTTTATTATACGGATCCCCATCTACAAGAGTTCTGCGGGCTTGTGCCATCTACTCATGTAGAGACACCCCATGGTCCCACCAAACTCCAGAACTTCCTCATGTCCTCCAGGCCGAAGGCTGGGTCGTGGCCCATCCAGCGGGACCCTGTGACTCCGGCCGTTGGCCGGGAGGCATAGCGAAACAGGAGAGAGATCTACAGATTCGGATGCACAGCGAAGTGGAAGTCAAGGGTCAAGGGATACCTTCTAAATGTGAGTCCCCGAAGACACCAAAAGACCATTCTGGTGACAATTCGGGTCTTCGTTGTCTTAGGTGGACTTCGTAGCAATATGATGCAAGTTGTCCAGGTTGACTATGTTGTTTTCTCAATTGTCAATTGGGGAGGTAGGTAATATCTTTTACATGGGGTGAGGCATGGTTTCACTCATAACTATGATCAAAGGTATGCAGCACTCGTAACTGGCAAGTGAAGGCATTCCGGTATCACTCCCAGGGTGGCAGATGGCTTCAAAGACTTCGCAGAAGCAGAACTATTTTGGGCTATTGGAACTTCTCAACATGCTGAGCTCAAACACATTTGTTCAGAAAATACCGCGTCAACACCGTTCAATTTCTGGCAGACCGGGTCGGACCGTCTCTCAGGCAGTACTCCTCTGACCTGAATCGCTCCAGCAGCCGCTGGGGCTCGCAATCGACCGGGCTAGGCTGCCGTAGGCGTCTCTGGAGCTGCATCTTCACGGAAGGCTGTCGGATTTTGCTTTGAGACATTTCGTACCTCAAGGCTCAAGGTCCAAAGATATTGGATGGAGAAATGGACCAAGCCAGTGGTTGAACTATACAGTATGCTTTGATAAATGAGTTCCTGAAGACCCTACAAACAGGTGGTCACCCATTTGGCGGGCATGAAGCTGTGGATCGAAAGCTGTGGAATAGGGTTGGTTGGTTGGTTGGTTGGACATGTTCCAACCGAACTAACCAGACCAAATTATTGTCACATTCTTGAAGTGTTCCTTTAAAAAAGAGAAGCTGTTGAAGGCCAGTTGTGCATTCTCAAATTCTCGGTGAGACGGTTGGGCTGTTGGTGACTGTTTCTTCCAGAGATCTCCAGAGCCAAATCCGAAGCAGCAGCAGAAGTCCCTGATTTGTAAAGCAAATCCACACATGATCCAAGAAGGAGTGATTGAGTGAGTGATCGAGTGTTCGTCCTTGTGGAATTCGGGAGGTCATCGCAGGGGAACTTCAGACCTATAACATGACTAGTTGCCGCATCTCATGGGCTTTGTGTAACGAAATCCTGGTGCACATATAAAGCCGCAAAGCCAAGGAGATGGAATTCCGCTCTCGCTTGACTCAGGAGCATGTGATGGCCCATGAAATGTTCTGTGTGTGTGCCCCTTTGATCTCCAAGAAGTTCATTTGCGCCTCCACCGATTCTTTTCCTAGAATGTTTAAACAGAGGCATGATGAGCGCTCGTGCCGTGAGTTCAGCTGAGCACCAGGTGAAACGCACTTGGCGAGCCGAAGCCGGACGGACGGGATGGTTCCGAAGGGTGGAGGTGAAAACGTATAGCTTCCAAGAGCACCAATTTCGCGGCAGATGGCACCAGAATTCAGCAGCTCAACTATATGCTCCTAATCCATTGGCAACGTGTAGCTTTTTGTCTCATCGGGCCATCGGGTATTTGCCTTGCCTGCTTTGATTGGACGAGAGCTAGCCCACCAAAACATGCGCAACCATGTGACGTCGAAGAACTCGCCCGCAACCCAGACCCAGCACTTTTTAAGCGTGTTGGGCTTCATGTTCCACCCAGACATGCTGGGATTATCCTGAGACAGGCTAACCCTGGCTGAACCATCGCTCACCAACTTTGCCAAGCTTTTGCCAGTTCAGTCGGAGTGCTGACATGCGCTGACCTCTCACAGGAGAGGGTCCTGGCAATCGGAGATGGTTGGGTGTGCTGTAGTGAATGATTCGTCAATAACTGTAGTGTTTGGGTGGTTCAAGCCTGATTTAGCCAGATGGCACATTCATTGGCAGTGATGCGTGCGTCTCACCCACTGTTGATGTAGAGGACCTTGGACAACACTGAAAACAAAAGACGTTCATTTAAGTTCAACAATTAAAAAGTACACTCACTACTCAGATCTCTAGATCCACCCTTGCTGTGGTGCAGCTTATGCAATGGATTTCACGGTATGTCCACTGCTTTGGTTTGCCGTCCGCTTGCTCATGCAAACACATGCACCAAGGGATCATGCTGGGTAGGTGTGGAACGGTTGACTGGAGGTGGTCGGATGTATGCGGGTTCCGAAGGCCTTGTGCTGGCGCCTTTTGATGTTCCAGTTTTCTCATATTTGCCCAGATGAGAACGTTTTCCGAAAAACTCCGATTCCATCTCAGGGTTCACATCGCCATGCGTTGTCAGATGTATTACCAGCCCACTTTCTCCGAAGAGCTTTGCGCTCCAGTTGCTCCCCACCGCTTCGTCTTGCAATGCGTTGAAAGTGGGGTGATCCAACTTCAAATTTGGCGCACTCGGCACGCATCCATTACACTGCAAACATTTGCAATATATAATCAAACTATATCAAACTATGTTCATAGTATTGTAGGAAGTGGGACTGCAAGAGTAAACCGACGCTGTGAGGTGGATGCAGTTTGTTTTGTGCTGGATGTTTGCGCTTTAAGCTTGTCGCAGGCTCTCTTGTGCCGAGCTGAAGCTTCCGAATACATTTGGCAGGATCGAACGTAATGTGGCATATGTTGTCTTCAATTGATTCTTGACTTGGGTGATGCGCTTGGTACAGTACAGCAAGTTACAGCAAGCTTGAGCCAGATGTTTTGAGCATGTTTGAGCCGGCTCCCAGCAACGGTACTAGCGCGGCCTGGCCACTCGCCCACTCGCTGGCGCTTCTTCCGCCACATCGCTCAGAGAGCGTTTCGGCAGACCGAGAAGCAGCAAACAAAAAAGGGGACGTCCGGGATATGGGAGGGCATCCTAGATAGGTCCACTGGTATGGGTACGGTATAGATAGCATGAAGATCTCTGAAGGAAGGTTGGCGGAGGTTTAGAAGTTTAGAAGTGTTTAGATTGGTGGAGGACTGGAGGACCCTACAGGGGTGTAGCGGCTTTGCTTGCTGTTCAAGTGGCCAGCGTTCCTTTGGAAGCGACGTCCTCTCCCACTCTCCGTTCTCCTCGCAGCTTGGCTCCACATCACGGGACACGACTTCCCGCGAAGATGTGGGCCTGTGGCATCTACTGCCAGGCGTTCCTCCGGGCCTTGACGGGGCAACTCATGGTTCTTTAGGACAGGGCCGTAGGCAGAAGTGGAGGCCATCGCTACTAGTTACTACTAGTAGCAAGCTACTAGGTTGGAGGCCATCGCTATAACCAGGGCACTGTTATGTTTTTACCTTTCGCTCGCAGCAAGCAAGGTGGAGCCGGGCGAAGGTCATTTCAGCCCGATGTAGCTGTCACTTATGGCACCTCCTAGATGTGGCCGCCTTGGCAGGTAAAGATTGAAGAACTAAGCGTTGGTGTCAGTTGGAGGTGTACTACCTGCTCCTTCTACCCCCTATAATATTATTGTAACCTTTCAATGTGGGCCAGCTTCTGAACGTGGTTGGTTTCAGTCGAAAAATCAAATGAATTCAAATGAAGTCCCCGAACAACCAAGCATTGCTTGACACGCGACGGCAAGCAAGCATTGAATCATTCGTCCATCCTGTGTCCATCCTGTAGCCCGACCCACAAGCAATATGACTTGACCATGCAAACCGTTTCAGCCCAACTACAAGCTCAAGTCCAGTACTTGCCCCACAGAATATGATGATTCTGCGGAAGGTCAACGCCCTCCTACGAACAGGAGAGAGGATGTTTCACCCACCCAGGTGCAGCAACCTGAACCTTTGATTTTCAGATCTACTGGGTGCAATCGGCCTATACCATGCAATCCGTGCACACGCGCACACACATAGACATATAGACATCATCAGACACTAGACAGACATAAGATTTGGTCCCTAAACATAATATAGACATGCTTTGGTACATGTTACATGCACTGTACAAGCTAGATTCGTCCATTAATCTATCCCAGACCTCATTATATAGTTGTGCTCCCTGTTTCCTTTGGCCTTCGGCCGCGCAAGTCACAGGTGGAGCTCCTCAATGCGCTCACCATGCTGCCACCGCTCTTCAGCACGGCGGCCGCTTGCTACGCGGTGCGTGGCAAGGCTGCGGGGGTTATCCCGTGTTCAACCTTGGAACCTGGGATGATTCATCGCCATGAGTGACCAATATTCGTTCAGGTGGGTTGAACATGGTCGAAAGCTACACATTACCTACTTCCAGGGCCGTAGCAGCTATCGTTTGTGCGTAGGTGGCTTCAAATTCTTGAGACACCTGTACTCATGCAGCTTGAAACTCATCACTGTTACCCAAAATAGACTCCATGCCCATGGCGCATCATCACGCCCATCCGTCAGACGTTGCATCGCCGGATGCCAGGGCTGGTGGCGCTCGTCGTCGGCTTTGGCGTTGATCGCCGGGTGGTTCCTGATGATCCCCTTCAGTACGGCCTCGCATCTCCATTGTGCCTTCCAAGGGCATTACTCGCATATCTTGATTCGCTTGGATCAAACAGGCCCTGTCGTGCCGGGCGTTGGGTCCGGTCCTTCGGTCGGGCGTGCGGTGCGTATCATGGCGGGGACAGACTTCAGACTGGAGACCACACTCTTGAACCAGCATCAGATCAGCGTTGAGACACACTGAACTCTGGTCAGATTAGGGGTCGCCTGCATGTGGCATGACCGAGAATTCACGCCTGATTGCCGAAACACCACGCATTTCATGACGAACCAACAACTATATCAGCAAAACATCGCCAAACAAATCAACATGCCGGAATGGCTGTTAGTCCCTAAGTGAGTGGATAATGGGTACCCCTATCCTCCGATAGCCTACTGGTGTGCATCACCAACATTGACCAACACACACACAGATATATATTCTGTATATATATATATATATCTACAAATACAAGAGAGAGAGAGAGAGAGAGAGTCAAGAGATGTTCAGAGAGCATTTTCGTCAACTCTCTCTCCCCCATCTCCCAAAACCTGTTTCACCCCCGAGTCACCCCTTCAGAAAAATCAAACTCCCTCCTACGGCCCCGCGCCACGAAAAGACATTCCGCCCAATTCCATGCCAAATTGCCTCCTTCCGCCCAAAATCGCGGGCGGGGTGGCGAAAAGAAAGGGGGCCCAATCGCAGGCATCTCGGTGGCCTGCGTGCTGGCGGCCTGGGCGATGTCCAAGTCCACCCGCTTCACCGCCATCACTGCCATGGCCACCGCGGCGGAAGGAAGTTGTGAATGGTGCGGACGTGATCGGAGATGTGTTGTTTGTTTTTAAGTTAAAGGGGGGTGAAGTGAGCCTCAAATGACCATGATGGTATGCGGTCACAATGTCATTGTCATTCTCCGAATGGACAGCGCAAGACAATCCCAAGTGGTATTTTCGCAACTCGGCTCTCAAATCACAGGCAAGAGTTGGAGTCCTTGCAGAGCTCCAGCAATGCAGATTTGCTGCATGTTACTATCACGTTTGGGTGCATTTTGCTTCCAATTCTGACCTCCTACGAGATCAATACATATCAATATTGGATCGTATTGGTATTGTGAGAAGTTCTCAAAATACATTTTGGTAGGGACCACTATGTAGTTCAACATTGCTTCTCCTACAGGATGTCCTACAAGATGCCTCCGCCTCCAGAAAATTTATCACGGAACCAGTCTCCCATTGCTTGGGAACCAGTCTCCCTGCCGGCATCCGAGGCGAGCTTCAGCGGCACGAACGCAAGAAGCGGCAGGTGTCGATGAGGGTTTTGCCTGGCCTCAAGAAGGAGGGTTTCCGGGTTTGAGGTGGTATGTGGTGGTGTTCTTTCTGTTGCCAAACCCTATGTCAATGTCATACCCTGCAAGTGCTGCAATCGGGCTTGTAACTGAAACATTTTTCTCAGGGTTGTAGCGGCAGTGACACGATCACCCGGTGACACCCACGCTGAATGGGTTGCTTCGGATCCCTGGATTGCCTCGCCTTTTTCTGCGGCACATGTTGGCCGGTGCCAAGCCATGCATTCGACTCGTACTGCTGGCCCAAGCCAGCTGACATAACTTTGACTTGGTACTTGTGACACCTTTTGGTGCTTTTGTGACCCATTCATGTCTTGGATGCCAAGCAAGACATGCCCAAGGTATGGACCTCATCATGTGGCTGGGTCCGGCAGACCTACGAGTGCACGTGGCCTGGCGCTGCCTGACCTTGGCAGGTGCCTGACCAGGGGTGGACGTTCGTAGGTCGACTCTCCTGGTGGGAATGGAGGGGATGAGACTCATGATGAGACGAGTGACTAGTCGATGTTTTTACTGTTTGGTCCTTAGTTGAGTCAACGTCATGACGTCCATGCAACAAAGAGCAAATGATAGTACAGTTACATATTCATTGCATTATTGCCACAATTGGCAAGGGTCACTCTTGCCATCATCATCATCATCATCATCAGCAACAATGTATTCTACTGAGTTGCAACATGCCACTGCCATGATGTGTTCAGGAGGGGGGTTGCAGTGACCCATGGGCATGGCATGATACTATAGCACTAGCTCAATTCAAAATCAAATAACTCGGCGAGATTTCCGGCACTAAACCACAATAAAGTGCAACTCTTTCCTTTTTCGTTATTATTTTATGTATTTATTCCTTGCTTGCTTGCTTTGTTGCTGTTTTTTCTTAATTTATTTTAACTTTTGTTTGTGTGTTGTTTGTTGTTGTTCTTTTCTCTTGTTTGTTCTTGTCTTGTCTTTTCTCTTCTCTTCTTTTCGTGTCTTTTCCGTTCGTTTTACAACTTTCATGTCTTGACATGTTGGATAGGCCCCCTGTGTGAGGTCCTGGTGGCCAGGACCCACCAAACAGCTCCACTCACTCCCACAGTGGTTTTGGGACATACCAATCAAACACACCACACTCTTGGCACAAATTTTACAAAATTCAGCCAGGAAGTTTGACCGGGGTATATATGTCGTGTTGTTTTTCCCTACCAGGGCCGTCAAGATCGTATGCGGAGAGGCAACCAACACCAATCTCGGATTGGCTTTGACCGCGACCTGCGTGCGCAGGTATTGTGCTGGCTTACTTGAGCCCGATGTTTTGGATGAGGGACTCTTATGATGAAAGCACTTGGCCCAAGAGCGTCGGGCAAGTTTGGGACTCGTTGACATGAGCGGGGGAACATGATGAGAAAGAAGTAATAATATGACCACAATCCATCCCATTCAATGTGGTCATATTTGTGCATGCGTTTAGATTTGACAATGACAACAGAACAGGGACTCCAAATTATGCCATGGGATCAGGATGGATCAGGTTTGGGGGGTAGGTTTGTTCACAAATCGGCTGTGATTGCATGGAGGTCCGCTTTCTGGCGATTCTGGAGTCTCTTGATGGTCCATCCTTATCCTTATCCAAATGGTTGTATGGAAATTGAAGGTGCCACGAAAACTAGCATTTGCCACCATTTTCTACAGGCTCTTCCTGAAACGCACCGAAGGCAGAACAAGAGCACCTAGTCACCTGACCTGCTTGCCGGTTCAGCTGTGGGAGGTGAAAGCTTCATTTTTGTATTTGTGCAATTCGCTTCCTCCAAGAGCTCACCTACCTCACATCACTCTCGTTTTGTGAAGCGTGTTATTTTTCTCCATGCCTGAGGTATAACTCCCATCGGCTTGTGCTTCATCGCCGGCTTTTGCATGGCGATCCAGGCGCCCCTGGGGCCCTACAGCCATCCGCTCTTCCATTTGTGCCTTGGAAGGAAGTCGTTGTGAGATTGAGATCAAAAAGATTCGCTCTAGTTGGCCCAGGTGTCCGACTAACTAGTGGGTGAAGACACATAGCTATGGCGACATATGGCGACGTCCTTCTTTGATGCTTTTCCATTTGCATTTTTCAAGCTAAAGTTTGCCGAGCTCAGAGGTTTGATGTGTTTCTGGGAGGGTTTCGCCGAGCGATGGTCGATTTGCATGGACACAGGACATACGGACATACGGATTTGGAAGAGTTCTTTTGTCCAATGACCGATGGATCTGTTTACTTACAGCCAGTCTCGTTGATTCCGTATAGCCGGTCTCAGTTCAGCAGATGGGGTTTTGGATTCCATTCGCCCAGGTTGTTGATTCCGTATAGCTACTATGTGCACCTTGGCTTAGCTTGTTGTTGTTTTTTTTTTATGCGTCAAGCCTCAACACGTCGTTGAGGCAAGCAGACAGCCTTTTGCGTGTGGTATTCGAGGTAAAAACAATGAAAAACATCGAGTGGGTTGGTGTTAGATTAAAAAAGCTTTCATATGGTAATGCCAGAATCCGTGATTTAAACAAAAAAAGTCAAAAACAAGGCAGCCACTTGAAAAAGTAAAAAAAATAAACTTCAAAAAAGTCAAAAAAGTCGAACACACATACAAAGAAAAGGTCGAAAAAAGAAAAAGTCGGATCTGGGCAAATTGACTTTTTTGACTTTCTGAAATTTTCTGATTTGATGTGTTTTTGACTTTGATTTTTTTTGACTTTTTTAAATTTAGAAAACAGGCTCTTTCCAATGAAAGTTTTTTTTTTTTAATAATGTTAGATATATTGGACCTACATGATGGCTCAACAAAATTGGTGCGGGTGCGCCCAAGAAACTCATTTTTTGTTCGGACATGATGGACCAAAACCGAGCGGGTTGGGTGATGTTGGGTTTCAAACATGGGGCACTGCCATATGGGTGTGTATTTTGATAGGGGGACCTCCCAGTTCGACTCCCTGGAAGAAGGAAAATAGACCAAAACTCATTGGGCCAGGGTGTCTCCCTATGAAAAGGCACACCCATATTCCACGAAAGGCTTTGATGTATCAACCTCTATATAGGGGTCGTTTCAGCCTCACATGGTCAAATCGGTATGTCCTGTGGATGGTTTGGCTGCAACATGCTGCAACTTTTTGTTTCCAGAGCTGCGGATGTGTTTGGACTGTTTGGATGAATGATTGATGTAAACTCATTGTAGGCTCTTGATTCATAAGCCACGCCCCATTCGACTCTTGAGGTTGTTCAATTCAAAAGGGGGGTGTTATTCGGCTTTAGGTCACCAACCCAACATCTCTCCACGACCTTTCGAGACGCGATGCTGCGATGCTGAAAAACCGTGCCCAGGTCGAGGTCGGCGATGGTTTTCGAGCTGCTCCTGGAATCACGAGCTGGAGCTGACCGTGAATGGACCATTGAGGCCTCGGACCAGACTCTTGGGACCTTGGACCGGTTTCCTCGGCCGGCTCGGGTGAGGAACGCCCTTTCAGACGGAGAGTGTGTTTTCTTTTTGAAAAACATTGAAAAACCATGGGCATGAACATGATGTTCTTGGTAGATGCATCATTTCCTATCAATTGTTCTAGTGTCTGAGACAGCAGGTTACCCGCTCGACGTTGGACCCCAGTCTTGAAGCCCTGACCGTTGTCCAAGCAGTCTGACTGTGAAAGGGAAGAGAGCTAGAATGGTCTCAACAGGGAAACATGTCCTTGGCCCAAGTGTAGGTGGAGACAGCATAAGGTGTCTCTTAGACCAACCAGTTGATTGGATTTTCAGGGGCAGATGTTCGTGTCGAATTCTAGTATATATATTCCAGTTTTTCCACAGTTCTCTTTGGCATGCACCATGCATCTACTGCCGATGCCTGGGTTTTCTCCAGGAGGGCAGCTTCGATGGAGACGAGATCAAAATCTTGGAGACAGGTGATTGCTGGAACACAGGACACACCAAGGCGCGAGCCCATGTCGGACAGGTGCCAGAAGAGCCCGCCGGGGGTTGAACAACACCTAATAACACCTATATATATGTGCTAGTTCATGCTACGCTAAGATGTTGCTTTCTTGGGTCATTGGCGAGGAACGCACGCTGAGCCGCAAGGCATTGACATAGTCGGCCCTCGGTATACAGTCCATGTCGCTGCAAGGGTGCTAAGCGGATCCATGTGGACATTCTGTGAGGCTGATGAGCTGCTGAAAGATGCAGAACTGAGCGATGTGGGCGATGCCCGCGACATTGAGCTGGGCACAGCAAGCCAATCAAATTTTCCTGTTTTTCTAAAGAGCTGCTGATTTCTTCCTGATTGGCCTTTTGAATGTCAACTCCAACCATCCGTTGATGCAAGGGCCACATGAACGTCATGCTGTTGGGCATCAGGGCGCTCATTGCCAATTGGGGAGTCTGGCAGCTTTGCCAATGCCAATCCCATCATTCACCAGTTGCGTGCTCGAAAGTGTTCAAAGTGACGCTTCTGCTTTTCCGGCGCGCAGCTCGCATCCGGACAGCTCGCTTCCTGCACCACTGGGTTCGCGTGACTGGGTGGACATCACTGGGAGGGAGTCAGCTGCCAGAGTCGCACACAGCACGTTGATATCACGTTTGTTTCGGTGAATTGTTGGACTTTCGTGGTTTCGCGGTGAAGGCACCCAACTCATTCGTCGGGTCTTTGTCCGCTACTTCACGCAACCAGAGGCCCAAACCCGAGGCCAGCTAGCCCAAAGTTGAAGCGCTGTTGTGAGACGCAACGCGCAGCCGGCGGCGGTGTTTTTGCATTTTGGTGTCTTTAGAATAGGGAGAACCCTCCGATGGACCCATGGAACTAGCCATTTTCAACCTTTGTGGTTGGAGGGTCTCCTTTTGGGTCTCCCTATGAAGCGCCAAATCCTCAAAAGAGCTCAAAATAGATCCTCAAAAGGAGGAGTGGATCCTATGCGACCGATCTGGTCTTGGGAATCTTCCCACGATCCAGGACCATCGGCACGTATTTGAAAGGGGCTCTGGGTCTGGTATGGTCATGTATGGTCCTTGGATCGAAAGTTGTTGGATCGCCATGGATCACTTTGGATCAGCGCAACATCAAAATGTTGGACAGTGAAACCACAATGACCCTCTTGAAGTAGGTGGAAGATGGTGGAAGTGGAACAATCATGGAAATGGATATGCCTTGGACAGGTGGTTGACAGGTGATTTTCCACTTCCATGATTTTCCCAGAAAATGTAGCTCGCATGGAAAAGCCGGCCAAAGCTTGTTTGGAAGAAGGCGATTGGGGACAGGGGGATCTTCGACCAGTTTTTTGGTTGCATTTGCGGAGGATCCAGAGGGGGACAAAAGATGACAAAAGCATATGTATAGATATGTATAGTAAATAGATTGATAAATCAACATGTGTATCTATATATATATATTTATTTATGGGTATCAATATATATATATGGCTGTTTAGAGTTGTGGATGGTGAGACCTGTGAACACCAAGTATACAGTGTACACCATGCCATTTGATCATGTGAACCTTTCACTGGCGATGAGCCGGAAAAGCGCCACTAATACACAGTTGGTCTTCGCAGATCAATGAACAGTATTATTGGGTTGGAGCATGTTGGAGCCATAACCCACAGCCACCTCTGAATTGGTCGGTTTGGAGGGACCGTTTTGCGCGTTTGGGCGCATTTTGCAAACCAATATGCTGTTGCTGCTTACGAGGCCAAAAGCAAAGCCCACGCAGAACGTGGTTCTTGCATTTTTTCATCCAGGAATCTATTCCAAACCGCCAAAGTTGCAAGTCAGTGAAGTTTGGGAATGTGTTTCTATTAATTAAATGGCACGTGTCCAATCGTCCACGCCCTTTCCAGCGTGGAAGGCTTTGCTAGTGACCTGATTACACTAGCTTGCTGTGCAACCATGGTGCAGCCAGGAAGGAGTCCTGTTTTGCAAAGATGTTTCACGAAAAGACTCGACAATACCTCGCTTGAATGAAGAAACATCCGAGGGCCTCCGGTCACTCAGTCAAGCCGAGGTTTGCTTCCGCAGACGGTAGGCGTGTTGGGTCTCACATCTCTCCTCTCACGGGGTGACGATACTTGACCGAAGGACCAAGAGATCTTTTGGGTGGGCGCTTTCAGATAGTTTGATGTTTAACCTTTAGTGAGATGATTGATCCATATTGATCCCATTGCCAGATGCTCCATGTATGCAATTTTTGCCTACATCGGGTGGGTGTGGGGGGTCAATTGATCGGCAAATATGGCAGTCCCATGGAGTGTATGGGATTGACATGGGATTGACTCATGTTTTCAAAGTGAGTTGAATCCAAAGATATCCCTCTCGTGTGATCCATAATCTTCGCCGCTGGGAGCTGCTTCTTCTGTTGACTGGTTCATGAAAGCTCTCATTCACACACATATATATATATATTTATATGTGTGTATAGGTATATAAAGCCCTATCAATCAGGTATATAGGTATATATGTATAGCCCTCATGCTATCCAAATGGATGTTCCTTCAGATGGTCCAGTCTGCCAGACCCCACCGTGCGAGAACACTGGACACCGTCATGGCCCAAAATTTGGCTCGGTCGACCAACACAGCTGCAGAATACTGGACTTCCAGTTGGGGACTGGCAGGGAATCTGACATAGTACGGTGCAACTGATCATGAAAGAGCATGTGAACCAACACACTTCACAAGTGTGCAGCATGGTCATCGATCATTTGGCTGTCTTTATATGATTGGAGAATGGCTTGAAATTGAAGCAGTGCCCGGAAATTCCTTCAAACAGTTGCTTGAGGCAGCCTGCACTACCCAACACACCGAGCAAACGTCATGCCGTGAACAGCTTCCACAACTCCAAAATGATAGCTTCACCCAGGGTGCAAGAACCTATAACTCTAACACAAAGAATGGGATCCCCTTTCTTGATTTCTTTTGATTTGTGATAGGCATGCAAACACTTTGAAACAACTTCATGTCGCCGGAGTGTCCAATGCTCACGACCCCATGGCTGTGACTAGCTGGTGGGCGACGAGTACCTCTGCACCGCGCCGGCATGGCACCATTACAGTGCAAGTGGCTGCAAGATGTTCGGTGCTTCTTTGGGGCTGTGAAATGAGACCCCCAACCCATGGATTTATCGTCTGAGACCTTCTCCTGGAGACCAGGGTGAAGGTCTACAATCTCGCGATGGATGGGGACCATCGGATGACCGACCTTTAGGCCCGAGAAGGAAAGAGAATGAGCCCTAACCCTGCCATCCAAGGTTTCCCGGGGTGTTTGTCCAAGAGAGGAGACGGAGATTTTCAAGAGAATGAGTTCCCCCCCCAAAAAAAAGGAACGGAATGACCCTAGGTCCGTATCAACTATTCAATCAATTGGACATCCGGGCTTTTGGAGGATTTGTCCTTCCAACTCTGGCTCCTGACCGGTCAAGAGACCCGATCCGCTGTCGACGCTTCGTCCGGGAATCGCTTCTCTCAGGTGCGTGAGGTCACCTGCGGCGTGGACGTGGGGAAGGCCTCCACACGGGGCCCGTCGCGTTGGCGTGATGTGGAACATGCCCTGGTGACGGATGAAGGGCGTTGGTGACGGGGGGGGTTTTCTGTACTCGTTGGTGAAACTGAAGGAGAGAGCGAGTCCGAGCCGGGGGTATCCATGTTCTCCTTGGAACAGGGAGCCCAGGACTGGGAGTTGGCCAACTGGCTGGTGTGTATATTGTAATCTTTAGATGCATAGGACGACTAGCTTTCGACCGCTGTTTTCGGCTAACTAGCTCGTCAGCCTATCCCATGTCTCGGCCCGCCTGCAATAAGTGCAAGCAGGCCGTGTCGATAGGTGAGGATTCTTGGTGCGTAGGGTGCGCGGCTCAGGAAAATACCCTGCTGGAGCTTCGAGCTCGCTGGGGAAATCCTGATTTGAGGAGGGCTGCGAACGAGGTGTTAGTGGACGCAGCCAGGCAAATCAAAGTCCTTCGGGCATTGTCGCTGAGACTCACTCCTTTGCGACCAGAGCCGCTGCCCCGCCCAGTTGCTCCGGGTACCTCCTCTTCAGTTGGGGCAACCCCGAAATCGAAGGCCAGAGCCCAAGAGCAGGAAAAGGAGAAGAGCGAGAGCGAGCAGAGGGAGGAGAAGAAGGACGAACCGGAGCCAGAAGAATCCTATACCTACAATTGAGCGGAGGAAGAAGACGAGCTGGAGGAGGAGACCAAGGAGATACCGGTGAAGGAGCCACCTGTCCCGGCGCCCCCAGTGAAGGCACCGCATGTGACAGTGAAGGTTGAGAGAGAGGAGAAGAAGGAAAAGGCGAAGGAACACAAGGGTTCCAAAGGTCAGAGTTGCAAGGAAAAGAAAAGGCATCGCAGGCAGGAGAGAGAGAAGAATCGAGGACGCCGTGGTGGACGGAAGCATCAGCAAGTTCATCGCAGGTTGTCAGACCCAAGCATTCGTGTGCACAAGAGGAGAGGAGTAAGTGAGTTGAGGAGTTTGAGAGAGAGGGACGACTTCAACAATCTCCCACCTCCGCCGCCATGTCCGCGCTAAAGGATATTTTCCCGGCTTGGAGCGAGGGTGAACTGTTTGTCCTAGAGGATACGGAACGATGGACAATGTTGAACATTGGAAGGGGAGATTTCGTGGAAATAGACCTCAAGTATTCAGACTGGGAGCCGGTTTCCGAAGCCACAGCCGGGCTTTTTGATCATGTCTCAAATGGTCACTCCCGAAGGTGGGGTGGCCTTGCTTGCCCACTCAGTCGGCTCCTCCGATGCGTCGCTCACCAAGAGGTTGTCGCAGATGTTCAACAGGAAGGTTGGGCACCTGCATACTTGCGTTGGGCGGCCATGCACAGAAGCCGAAGAAGGGTATTTGCATGTCACTAGGTTGAGGGTCTACACCAGAGAAGGCTTCAATCCACCGTACTTCATGCCTCCCCATTGCCGTCAGGTGAAGAAGTGGCTTGGAGAGTTGGAGGAAACGCTTCACGCTCACGAGGAAGGGCGAGAGGCGGATGGCACAGGGGAGGAACCTGGGCCGGAAGTTCGCTCTGGTGGAGAGGAGGTCGGCAGAGAGGTGTCGGAGAAGAAAGGAAAGGATGCCCTCCCGAAGCGCGGCGTGCGCCCCAGTGCGCTGCGCGCCAGTTCTGCTGCCCAGAGGAGGGCGCGGGGCAAGGGAGTGGCAGTTGGCGAGTCCTTTCAGTTGGGAGAGAAAAGGGCCAAGGCGCCTGGCGCTGGCCAAGTGTCGGAGTCGGTCGACGAGCTCCCCAAGGACCTGGGCCTGGGGAGTGCAGAGGATCGCGAAGAGATGTCGACTTCAGAGTTGAGGCAGAAGCTAGATGCCGTGAGGTTGAGGCTGGGAGGTTCCGCACGGCCATCGATAGGAGAGTTGAGGAAGATGTCAGAGGAAGAAGATTCAGAGGGTCGCTTGCAGGAGGCTGCGGCAGATTCAGGCTTTGTGGAGGAGCTACGGGGCCTGACGAGTGGAGCGAACCTGAGGAGGAAGAGGTCGTTGGAGGATACAAAAGATTCTTCTATGAAAGACATCTCGAGTCAGCTCGTTCGGCAGGCTCAGCAGAGGTCGGCAGAGAGGAGCCATCGGAGAGGAGAGAGCAGAGAGAGAAGAGGATCAGGAGACGAGGAGAAGAAGAGCGAGAGGGCCCAGTTGCTAAGGCTTTTGAATCAGGCAGCAAGAGGATCAGGAGGATCAGGAGATGGAAGGGATCCCTCCGACCACAGGGGGGAGAGAAGCAAATCGAGAAAGAAGAAGAAGAAAAAAAAAGGGAAAAACAAGAAACGAGGCAAGAAGCGAAAGCTAGTGAACGGCGTCATCATCAGCTCAGATGGCTCGGACAGCTCGTACGAGGACAGCGACGATTCCGGGGAAACTTCAAGCACCGAAGGCTTCGAAGCTCCGTTGAGACGACGCTCAAAAGCTCACCCAGGCGCCGTGCTTCGTTTGCTGGTCCAGCAAGCTCAAGAGGCATTGGACCAGAGTGCCCTAGTCGAAACGGGAAAGGAAGCGGCAAAGTCGGTGACGGAGGGCGTGAAGATCACCACGTACTTCAACTTGCATGTGAAGCCGCTGTACTCCCATCACAGGGCAGCCATGAGGGACTTATCCTTGATGAGCCAGGTGTTGGACACGATCCGCGCTGGCTCAATAGCCCGGGCTGCGGACCTCCTGGCGGCCCACTTCATTGCGGCCCATCAAGCCCTAGTGGACAACAGCTGGAGCCAGGCCAAATATCTAGAGGTCGCAACACAGGACGACCCTGCGGCCACTTCAGCGGCAATTTTGTTGGAGGCTCGCAAGCATGCAAAAGCCAGCTTGAAGGTGGAGACGCCAGATGCCTGGGTGCCCCACAAAGGGTGGGGGAAGAGTTGGCAAGGAGGAGGAAAGTGGCAAGCCGAAAAAGGAAAAGGGAAGACCAAGAAAGGAGGCAAGCAAAAAGACAAAGGATCCTGGGGAGACCGAGAGGGAAAAGGAAAAGGACAAGGGAGAGAAGGAAGAGAAGTGAGGAGCGCGAGAGAGGCGACTTTAAGACCCTTAGAGGAACAAAAGGGCCTGGCGCCAGTTTTTCAAGAAGATGAGGAGTTGAGAGAGGAGGCTTTGAAGGTTGCAGACACTTTTGAGGAGTCTGGCCAAGATTTAAAGGAGGATGAGGCTTTGTTGCATGAAGAATTGAGCACAGGTCAGGCGATCTGCCTGGCAGTTGGCAGGAGAGTCCGTGATATCCGAAATGGTGGGACGCTTCTTGCATGGATGTTGGCCCAATCTATGACTATGAAACATTTAGGCCCATGGCGTTGGGTCTACAAAGTTGTCTTCGACAGTGACAATGGCGCAGCTGGTTATGAGAAGCCCAAGAGGGCTGTCTCATTCCCCATGAGAAGAGGATTGGTTGAAGAGACTTTCCAGAGGTTGTTGAAGTGCAACCTGGATCAGGCCGCCAGTGAGGATTTTTCCCGAGATTGGGCAGAGGATTGTTGGCTTTTCCTTGCGCTTCATGCCACTAGTGGCTTGGCCGGTCGAATCAGACCCTTGAAGGCCGGCCAGTGGTCAGCGCTGGAACGTCGGGGTGCGACAGCTGCGAAGAGAGCAGTGCAGCGGACGCTTCAATGCAGCTGTGGACCGCTCCAACCGTTCGAAAAAGTGGCGAAGGATTTGAGGGCGGCTAGAATTGATTACAATGGAGAAGAAACCGGGGTTTGTGAGAGACTTTGCTTAGAGCAGATCGAGCCTGCACTTCCCCCTTTAGGTCATGGGGGTAGATTCGACTTAGAGGGCACCAAGCGAGTTTTAGAGGCCCCTGAGAAGCTGTTGAAGAGTGAGTTTGATCAGCCCCGTCCGCGAATCCCTGGTTCTGTTCATTTTGGGCTAGGAGAAGAACTTAAGGTGTCTGAGGAGCTTGTTAGGAGAGGGATCTGCCAATGGATTAGGTCTGAAGAGGTGGTTGAGGTCCAAGGAACCCGTATTTTGAATGGCCTGTTTGGGGTGAAGAAGCCCAGTTGCTTACCAGATGGTAGGAGTATTCTTCGGGTCATCATGAACCTCAAAGCCACAAACTCGGTAATGCACCAAGTACGGGGGGCCGTTGAAGGGCTCCCGGCGATTACTGCGTGGCAAGCAGCGGTGCTGGAACTGGACGAGCAGTTTAGGTTCTTTCAGTCGGACATTTCATCGGCTTTCTACCTTTTTGAGCTGCCAAGTTCGTGGTTGCCCTACCTTGCATTTGCAGTGTCGCATACGGGAGAAGAGTTGGGGCTTATTCCTGGAGAGACTTACCAGTTAGCCTGCAGGGTAATTACTCCCGATGGGAATGCACTCGTCGGTATCCCTTATGCAGGAGGTCTCGGAGGAGATACTATGGAAAGCAGGGCTTGCCCGGTCTGCTCAGGTGCGGAGGGGACAACCTGTGCCCCGGGTGCTTGCGGAGACAGCTGAGCAGTCACTTCGAGAAGACAGATATTTTTGGCAGGTCTATCTTGACAACTTCATGGGGGGTGATAAGAGGGTCCACAAGGATGGTGAAGGCATTGGTGCGAAGGTTCATGAGACGGTTGAAGCAACGTGGACAAAGCATGGAATCCTTTCCTCGGAAAAGAAAAGAGTTTCGGATTCGCTAGAGGTTGAGGAGCTTGGTGCCCTTTTACAAGGTGAGTTTGGGGTGTTAGGAGGGACGCCACATAGGTTTTGCAAGTTGATTCAAGCAACTTTGTGGATGGTTGGTCAAAAACCTCTAAACAAAAAGTTGGTTCAGGTGGTTGCAGGACGGTGGGTCCATGTCCTCCAATTCAGAAGACCGGCGATGAGCTTCCTTGACAAGACCTGGGCCTTCATTAACAAGGGGGGTGAAGAGCTTGCCCTTGCAACGAAAAGGGAATTCCTCCTGTTGCTGGGATCGATTCCTCTACTGCACACTTTCCTAGGAGCTGAGGTTGACAACAAAGTTTGGTGCAGTGACGCTTCAGAGAAAGGAGGAGCAGTAGGATTTGCCTCCCTGCTCACCCCCCGAGGGAAGGACTTCGTGATGTCTAGCCGCATGTCGCTTTTGACCTTGGGAACTGCTCCGATCTTGGTTATTGGGTTGTTCTCAGGGATTGGAGGTACTTTCAGGGTGTACGACCTCTTGGATATCGTTCCGCGGGGGTCCATAGGAGTTGACATTCACCCACCTGCGAACAGAGTGGTCAGTAGAAGGTGGCCAAATGTGACCCTCCTTCGAGACGTCAAGGAGATTACCAGGGAAGACGTTCGACGATGGGCGCGCGACTTCCATACAGTCCAAGAAGTGCACCTGTGGGGGGGTTTCCCCTGCAGGGATTTGTGTGGAGCAAGAGCCTATCGAAAGAACCTAATGGGCAGTGAGAGCTCCTTGTTCTTTGAGTTCCTGCGGATTTGGGAACTGATTGAGGCGGAGTTCGACGAGACAGTTCAAGTGAAAATCGCGGCGGAGAATGTCGCGTCAATGGATGAGTGGGCGGCAGAAGAGATATCACAATGGATGGGCCTTCAGCCGTACTACTTGGACCCAGTGCAGGCCGCCCCTTTGAAACGACCTCGTCTTTGTTGGACATCTGAAGACGTTGAGGGATGTCTAGAAGGGATTTCGGTTGTTGAGAATAAGAGGTGGTCAGAAATTGTTGCTCATGGGCCCTACCCCACGGTTGACCAGTGGATTGCCCTCGGATTTTCGTGGCCAGGGGAGTCTAGTGCCAAGGCCTTTCCTACATGTATGCGTGCAGTTTGGAAAGAATCCCCGCCCCCAAAACCGGCGGGCATTCATAGGGCTGATAAGGACTGCTGTGACAGATGGGCACTTTCTGGTTACATTTATCCTCCCTACCAGTTTCGAAGCGAATTCCTTCTGTGGAAGTTGGTGGAGGCTCACAAATAGTCTTGAGAGGGGGCTTTTGATGGGTTACGGGTTTGGACATTGTGAGTTGGCGTGGCCCGCAAGTAAAATCAAACAAGACCCGGAAGGCTTTGAGAGGGAGAAGTGTTCGCTGATCGGTGATGCTTTTAGCATGTATTCTTTTGTGATCATTGGCGCTGCTCTTTCGAAAGCCTACCTCCCACGGATTCATTATCATCACCTTTGCAAGCGCATGGGGCTTTCTCCAGGTTTCCGGGCCAGTCTGAGACTTCAAGCCCCCCTTTGCCGTGCTTTACAATATGGTTGTCAGACGGTGGCAGAGGCACAAGGTAGCATAGGTGTCAAGGATTTAAATTTGTTGCTCCTAGGTCGCACCAACTTCACGGGCAGTGACGTGCGGGTTGTCAGTGGGGATGTTGTAAACCCACGTTGTTTCCCACGCCAATCCATTTGTGCAGATTGGTGGAGGTGGGAAAGGTGTTTCAAGATTCGTTGGCCTGCGCCGCAACACATTAATCAGCTTGAGCTCAAGACCATCATCCTGAGTGTGATCAGGGGTATTCGTGCAGAACAGTGGGTTGAGAAGAGGATCTTCCACCTTAGTGATTCTTATGTTTCAATTAGTGTTGCTTCAAAGGGACGTTCCAGCAGTCGCATGCTCAATCGGTTGCTAAAAGTTCTTAATGCCCACCTTCTCTTGTATGAGATCTTCCTTGTGCTCGCGCATGTAGAGAGTACTGAGAATCCCACAGATGCCGAGAGTCGGAGTTAAAGTGGTGCATAAGAGGACGCGCACAGAAAGACGAGCGGCGCGTCGTGGCATAGCGTTGAGAGATGCTGGAATCACCTTTCGCACTCGTTGCGCATATTTCTTTGCGCTGAGGCTGTTGCTCCCCTACATTGAAAATGTACAAAATGAATCCGAATTGGATAGCGCTTGCGCTGAATGGGTGGAAACCACCTGGGAGGATGGTGAGTCTATCTACACCGTTGGAAATGCCCTTTCAGGCTTGCATTTCTTTGAACCTCTCACTAAACGGAAAATTCCTTCGGCTTGGCGCCTTTTCTCCACTTGGAAGAAATTGGAATGGCCGGCCAGAGCTCCGCCTTTAACGCGTGAGATTGTGATCAGCTTGGCCTACTATGCCATTTCTCATGATGACTTGCTCTTCAGTTGTTTGTTGGTTTTGGGGTTCTTTGCGCTTCTCCGCACTGGAGAGCTGTTGAAGTTGACAGGCCGAGACCTTCTCGTCAATGCTCGACAAGTGGTGATCTCACTCAAAGAGACCAAGACCGGCAAACGAAACGCCGCCAACGAAATGGTCACTACAGACGACCCTTTTACAATTATGGTTGTACAGACCACTCGATCACTTCTCGCTGATTGGCATGCGCTGGATAAGCCTTTGTGGGGCTTTACCCCGCAGGCATTTCGGCGGCATTTCGACTCATATTTGAGGCGGTTTCACATTCAAGACTATGGCTTTAGGCCATACTCCCTGCGCCGCGGGGGCGCTACGTGGTTGATGCAGTCGACAGGAAGTATGGAACTGGCCCTTCTTAAAGGCCGGTGGGCCAGCCACAAGGTGGCAAGAGTCTACATTGCTGACGGCGTCTCCAAGCTTCCAGACCTCCTCTTTTCCGAGAAGACCAAAGCCCCTTTAAGAGCATGGCAACCACGTCGCTAAACGACGAAGAGGGGGACCGTGGAAGAGTGTGTTCACGGCTGCTGTTGGCAGAAAACGTTTGGTGCAAGTTCTTGTTTGTCTGCCTACAAAGGCAAGTGCCTGCATGGGGCACATAATGTTCTTTACAAAACTGCCTGCATGGGGCAGTAGACACAGAAAGAATAAAGTAACCTGCCCGAGAGGGGCCTAAAGAAAGGTCTGAAAAACAAGACCTTGACACGGGCAACTTAGAACGCCCACACCAGCTGC